ACCGTAGGTTTATAGAGCAAAAACACCGACTCAGTGGAAGATCTTAACCTTCGTAGATATTACAAAGTATAGATCTTGAATACAGCAGTTACATATCATTAGATTCCACTATGTCCATTATCGTTGTTACTATAACATTATAACATTTTACTTTAGTAGCCTGGTAACCCACATTGGTAATTAAACAAACGAAGCAATAAAGAATTAGCAACTTTAAGCCTAGCGATAGAGATAAATTCAGGCCATAACAATAAAAAATAAAGCTTTTAAATATAAATCGCATGAAGGCCGTAGCAGGTGCTACGGGGCGTGAAAGCCTTCCCTCTCGTTATTATCAATGCTTTGGATTTTGTTCCGAAAACCCTTTTATCCCTTTCACACACATTATAAAACTCAAACAGTGTATTTGTTACGCTTTTCCTATTTTTATTGAACGTATAATTGAGTTTGACGTTCCCATTATCAGCAGGAGTATGTATTTTATTAGTGAGCCAATGCTCAATATGAACACAATGGACTAGTAAATAATATAAAGTATTTATAGTAGCTATTCAAGGAAAGGTTAAAGTGTAAAATTGAAGCTGAAGATTTAGGTTCCTTGTTTACAAAAAAAATCGGTTGTCTGTAAAATCGGTTTACTGACGATAGTTGAACGTGACAACGTCATATGAAAATACTCGTACTGATGGAATGGTTTAATTTTTCAATTATCACAATTATCGTTGCTATAAACAATTGACACCACATTCACTTTTCACAGAACTTCATACTTGTCGAAAACATGTAAATGTATTATTGTATAGCAGCTGTCCACGCGGATGCATCGCTCACTCAAGTAGGAGAGAGACACATGTCGAACGCTGCCGAACGCGGAGGCCGATTGTGCCTCTTTGTCGCTCGTTGCGCGCTCTCGCTTGCACTTCAAGCCTTAAATGGAACGCCTCAGAGCGAGGTAACGCCGCATGAGTCATGTTTTTTCTTGGGTGCAGCCGGCTCCATCGAATTATAAGACGTTGTCACGTCAATACCAGGGCTACTATATCTCGTAATCCACGTAATGTCTGTAAAATTAATTGTTCTGATGTTTTGTTTTTGTTTCTATTGTTGCGCGAACAAATGCTTCATATTATGTGTAATCTTTTACGAGTTCTCATATAAATCATAACCTGCCTCGGGATACCTGGGTCGTATAAACGTAGTAAAATTGGAGATAAACTCCCTATCTAGTTGTATTTGCTTCATTATCTCATTTTACGTTCCTTTTGTTATTGTTCTTGGAAAACGTAAAGACATCGTAAACAAATCGGAATTTTTATATAAACTAGTGGTCGCCCAGTAGTCGAAATTCAACCATAATTATTAATTTCAGTTATAAGTTTGAACATTATTGTGGTTCTATTATCAAAGACTTTACTTGTGTAATCTATACATATAAATAAAATTACAGTGTCTGTTTGTAGTATTGAAATAACCGCTTTTTACTACATGCATATAACTAGTCAGGTCATAAGTATTGTCACACAGTAAAAACTTTTCTTTTAGAATGCTGGCCACATAAAAGTTTATTGAATTCGAATTTCGAATTGTTCATGAAAATAATAATGTATAATTTTTAGCATTTTACTCATTTTTAAATATGGAGTGGACGCTTAAAGAAGACCGTGTTGCAGTTATTGCGTTGCATTGTTGCGGCTACGCGCCAATTCAAATTTTTAACATACTGAAAATTTTGAATGTAACCAAAAGATTCGTTTATCGTACCATCAAACGATACAATGAAGACTCTAGTGTAGATGACAGGTCAAGAAGTGTTCGCCCTCGGTCTGTTAGGACTCTAGCAGTGATAAAAGCTGTGAAGGCGCGAATTCAAAGAAATCCCAAACGTAAGCAGAAACTGTTGGCCCCGCAGATGGGGTTAAGCAGAACCACGGTGAAAAGGGTGTTAAATGAAGACTTAGGGCTCCGTGCATATCGAAGAAAAACAGTACATCGTTTGAATGCTCGTCTAATGGACCTGAGACTGAAGAGATGCCGCGCTTTGTTGAAGCGGTACGTGGGAAAAAAATATCGGGAAATTCTTTTTTCGGATGAAAAAATTTTTTCCGTAGAAGAGAGCTACAACAAACAAAATGATAAGGTGTACGCACACAGTAGTGAAGAAGGGAGCAACCGTATTCCGCGTGTCCAACGAGGTCATTTTCCATCCTCGCTCATGGTATGGTTGGGAGTTTCTTATTGGGGCTTAACAGAGGTACATTTTTGTGAGAAAGGTGTAAAAACGAATGCAGTTGTGTATTAAAATACAGTCCTGACGAACCTTGTTGAACCTGTTTCTCATACCATGTTCAATAACAGGCACTGGGTATTCCAACAAGATTCGGCGCCAGCTCATAGAGCGAAGAGCACACAAGACTGGCTGGCGGCGCGTGAAATCGATTTCATCCGGCACGAAGACTGGCCCTCCTCCAGTCCAGATTTGAATCCGTTAGATTACAAGATATGGCAACACTTGGAGGGAAAGGCGTGCTCAAAGCCTCATCCCAATTTGGAGTCACTCAAGACATCCTTGATTAAGGCAGCCGCCGATATTGACATGGACCTCGTTCGTGCTGCGATAGACGACTGGCCGCGCAGATTGAAGGCCTGTATTCAAAATCACGAAGGTCATTTTGAATAAGCTTTAGTGTCATAAGAATCTATGTTTTGTTAAGTTCATTTTGGTATATGAATGGTTACATAATGAATAATTTTGTTTCAATTATTTTACATTAAACATGTGACAGAATTTATGACCTGACTAGGTATATACGGTACATACACCAAAATAACATTTTTTACAATTTTTGTCTGTGTCTGTCTGTCTATTTGTTTCGGCTAATCTTTGGAACGACTGGACTGATTTTGATGAGACTTTCACTAATAGGTAGCTGATGATATAAGGAGTAACTTAGGCTACTTTTTCGACTTACTTCGACCCGCGGTTATTGTCGTACCGCGTGCAACATGGCGGGTTTCGCCTATCAATAATAAAATTTAATGTTTCCGAAGCGAAGCGAGGGCGGGTCGCTAATAAATAATAACTTTCGTCAAGACTACACTATAGACAAATATCATTAAAAACAAACAATATGAATCTATTCTCAAATTAACCACAGACTTTCACACTAAAGAAAAGAGTATATATGCGTGTGTTAAATACATGGTAGTGCGTGTAATGGTTTTTTTTATTAATTTAATTTTCTTATACTTTATACGTATTTCTTATACATCATTAGAAAGAAAAAAACATTCTGCACTCCTTCTCTATATTCTCTATAAGTGTTGGGAATTTCATACTTCTCCGTCCGCGCAATTTTCGTAAAAAGGAGTATAAAGGTTTTGCTTTAAAAATTTTGAAAAGTGTAAATGTATTGTGGAATTGTATTTGAATAAACAAAAGTAATGTGGGTATGTACTTTTCATTATTATAATGAACATTATGTCTTGTTTTGATTTTAAGAGAAGAGGTTAAATGGTGGGACGCCGTAATGTGCATCAAAGCCCCTTCTAATACTACGAGTACATGACGGTCATGATTAAGATCAAGTATTTTTTTTTAATTAGAAACAAAACGGTCAAAACGACCACATGGTCGTCGCTTTTTTTTTATTTACGCTTTTAGCGACAGGTAGCGACTTGGCTGTGTCCCCGGGTGGCGTTGCGGACGTCCATGAGTGACAGTGACCACTACCATCAAGTGGATCGTATGATCCTGTGTCCGTTTGATTCGTAAGCATTTTACGTACGAACGTACACACACACACATATCGTCTTCTCGCATTAAAACTATAATCTCAAAACTTACAAATTTTACAGGACTGTTTTAAAGATTTAAGATGTAATATTTTTAATCATATTTGCAATTTTTTATTTTTTAACAGTTACATTATCCGTCTTTTAAAGTAAGATAAAATTATGTACTAATTTTGTTAATAGTAGTCAAAACTAAGGTAAATTAAAAAAAAAAAAACTAAACTACGCTCTTTTGACAGTATTTATGGGAAAAATACTGGTGATACCAAATGTTTACGCATATTAACTCAATTTCGAATATTTTTGGAAATTGTACACTTTTAATGTAAAAAGGCGGTATATACATATTATGTATGTAGATCGTTTTTCGTAACATCCTTTTTTGACCTTTGTTGTTGCATTGTGTTCTTATAGGATTTTTTATAAAAACGGAAACTAATGAAATACAAACTTTAAGTAAAACAGTATGTTTATTGAAACCCATTTTCGTTGAAAACTTATATAATATAATACAGAGAATAGACCGAAGTTTTTCGATTAACACTGAATCGTTTATTGTGTTGCCTTACTTTTATACTGAATTCGAGAAAAACACTACAAACATTACAATATTATATTATCATCATACAATATTATATAATATTATTCTGGTCAATATTTTATGATATTTTATTCCTACGAAAATGATCAATTTGGTTTTTTATTTACAGATGCCGATTAAAGTCGTTCATAGTCGTACATTCAATAATTTTAGCGATCTATAGAAACCTACTGATATCACTAGAGTAATGCATTTCATAAATGGCTATAAATTTATCAAACATCAATTTCTAAATTAATTTACTTATTTAAGGTTATGAACGATTGCGCTTAAGACGCCGAATTTAGGCATTTTCGTTCCCAATAATTACTAATCATCGATTTCTCGAGGTGAGCTTTTACTTGACGGTAGATTTGGCACACCGTTCAATTTGGCATGCATTATCACCAGAATTTTAGTAAAATTATCTTAAAATGCAAACATCCTTAGAGTGTTAATAATTAATTTAACTTCATGAGAATTAGCTAGACAAAGATATGAATTTATTTACAACTGGTGTATTGTGTGTTAAAAAACATTTCACATTAAATTTAAGGAACGTTGCTTTTAAAGTTCAGAAATTGAAAATACCGAATATCTTGACAATGTAGTAAAGTATTTCGTCGGGAGCTCGAGGGTATATTATTGTCTTTTTAATTTAATTTTTTTCAGCTTACTTCCAAATGTAAGCTCATTATTGTTTTTTTTTTTTTTTTTCGCAACGCTCCTTATTTTGAGCTGAAACTTTTATTCAACTTTGAGCAATAGCATCAATAAATAAAGTATGTACATCGTTCATAATCAATCAACATTCCAGATTCTAACCCGGCCAAATCAAAATTGTTAGTCATCATTAATAAAAAAAAAATTCCATTTTATTTGTTCGTATTAAAAAAACAATTCGTTGTCCATTTTATTCTCGACTTTTAACCATTACATGACCGTTTCAGAAGTAGCATACGATTCTATTAGAGTAACCGAAGACAAAAACGTCACTCAAAGTCCCACTCCGACATTAAAATCGTCGTGCTCAATCCGTGAAAACAACACCGTTGTTGGCACGTTGTGTCCACGACATCGCCGTCGTTCAGCCACTGTGTCTAGACGTCACTGGGGGGCGAGACGGCGGGTCCCGGCTGCTAGTGGAGTTGGCTCTTTGTACTGAACCCGTAGTGAAGGTATGGGGAACCCGCGCCATCCCGCGCTGCCCCGCTGCCACTGCCCCCACCCGCGCTACCAGGGCACTTGAGCGCCGAACGCAATTCAGACGCCATCTCCGAGCATAGTGACGCCTGTCCACATACACTCAACGATAGATTGTATTTGACGACTATTTTATATCATTTAGAACAATCGTACCTCCTCTTTCTTTGGTGTCCACAAACGGATGCATGAAAAATAATCATAAAATTTTAAGTGGTGCTCTATGATCTAATACTATACTCTAGGTCTATATCCCAATAAAAGTACTCTAACTGAAATATCTAGCTTGTTTATATTTAGGAGAAAACTATATTGTTTCTAATTTAATCTTCTTTTTCTAAAGGAGTTTGAGGCCTTTTTTTATTACACTAGGGGCATATCTATAAACTACCGCAAATACTCTTTGCATGTTTTAAATGTTAAATTTTGGAGCTAATCTTTTTGTTTGACAACTACCGCCCTGAAGGCTAGAGGTATGTGCAAGAGTCATGGATGAATAATAAATGTGATTAATAAAATACGAAGATAACAAAACGTCGAATGTTACCCGATTTAAAATAAACCTAGAACAAAACAAAAGTTGAGATTAGGACGTAAAAAACACAACACCAAACGGAAATAGAAAAATGTAAATAAAAAGAAACAAAATATAAAAATTAAATATGTACATAGAGAGTAAACAAGAATTCGGTAAAACAGAAAGTTTGATTTGCTCTAAATTTCTCAATAAAAGATTTACCACGAAAACTTTTCAGAAACAAAATTCGTATTCTGATCGAAGAATGATTACGATTTTTTGTTTATTATGCACGATTAATTTTGTGATCTGATGATTTTAAGTTTTGGGAAAATGGGTTAGGTTACTTACCCGTTCATCGACGGCTACTTTACGTGACTTCCATACGAATTCGCAAACCGCGATCACGCATGCTACTCCCATTCCTCCCATGAGGACAACGAAAACTCCACCCACGTTGGCTAGACCTAGCTCGTTTGCAGTTGACGAGGACTTGGAAGTTTCATCCTAAATCAACAATCAAAAAACAGTTACAAAGGAAGGTTTTAATGCAAAGCTTTTTGAAGTCGTCGCGGCTTAAAAGATAAGACGCCCGGTGCGGTCGTATCAAGCGATACAGCGGTGTTCGAATCACACAGCCAGGTACCAATTTTCTAATCAAATACATACTTAACATTACGAATTACTTCCACGATGAAGGAAAAATGTCGTGTAATAGAAATCAAACACGTTAATTATACCTAGTCAGGTCATAAATTCTGTCACATGTTTAATATAAAATAATTGAAACAAGTTTATTCATTATGTAACCATTCATATACCAAAATGAACTTAATGACACTAAAGTTTATTTAAAATGACCTCCGCGATTTTGAATACAGGCCTTCAATCTGCGCGGCCAGTCGTCTATCGCAGCACGAACGAGGTCCATGTCAATATCGGCGGCTGCCTTAATCAAGGATGTCTTGAGTGACTCCAAATTGGGATGAGGCTTTGAGCACGCCTTTTCCTCCAAGTGTTGTAATCTAACGGATTCAAATCTGGACTGGAGGAGGGCCAGTCTTCGTGCCGGATGAAGTCGATTTCACGCGCCGCCAGCCAGTCTTGTGTGCTCTTCGCTCTATGAGCTGGCGCCAAATCTTGTTGGAATACCCAGTGCCTGTTATTGAACATGGTATGAGAAACAGGTTCCACAAGGTTCGTCAGGACTGTATTTTGATACACAACTGCATTCGTTTTTACACCTTTCTCACAAAAATGTACCTCTGTTAAGCCCCAATAAGAAACTCCCAACCATACCATGAGCGAGGATGGAAAATGACCTCGTTGGACACGCGGAATACGGTTGCTCGCTTCTTCACTACTGTGTGCGTACACATTATCATTTTGTTTGTTGTAGCTCTCTTCTACGGTAAAAATTTTTTCTTCCGAAAAAAGAATTTCCCGATATTTTTTTCCCGCATACCGCTTCAACAAAGCGCGGCATCTCTTCAGTCTCAGGTCCATTAGACGAGCATTCAAACGATGTCCTGTTTTTCTTCGATATGCCCGAAGCCTTAAGTCTTCATTTAACACCCTTTTCACCGTGGTTCTGCTTAACCCCATCTGAAGGGTCAACAGTTTCTGCTTACGTTTGGGATTTCTTTGAATTCGCGCCTTCGCAGCTTCTATCACTGCTGGAGTCCTAACAGACCGAGGACGACCACTTCTTGACCTATCATCTACACTAGAGTCTTCATTGTATCCTTTGATGGTACGATAAACGAATCTTTTGGTTATATTCAAATTTTTCAGTATGTTAAAAATCTGAATTGGCGCGTAACCGCAACGTTGCAACGCAATAACTGCAACACGGTCTTCTTTAAGCGTCCACTCCATATTTAAAAATTGAGTGAAATTCTAAAAGTATACATTTTTATTTTCATGAACCATTCGAAATTCGAATTCAATAAACTTTTTTGTGGCCAGCATTCTAAAAGAAAAGTTTTTACTGTGTGACAATACTTATGACCTGACTAGTTAATTTGCATAATTACTGGTGGTAGGACGCCTTGTGAGTCCACCACACAACAGTGAGTGTAGGTACCGCCACCCTGCCTATTTATGCCGTGAAGCAGTAATGCGTTTCGGTTTGAACGGTGTGGCCGCTGATGTACTATAAAAAACTGGGACTTTCAACTCATGTCTAATGGTGGAATTTACATTGTTGACGCCTATGGGTTCCGGTAACCACTTCACATCAGATGAGCTGTGAGTTCGTTTATCAATCCTCGTTCTCCGCTCCTAGTCGCAAAATCAATTTTAGCCAAATAATCAGATAAAACATGTCAAATGTGCGTGTAGGGTCGTCTTTGGAGGACATTTTGTCGTCTCATTCTGGTTTATTGGCGTATTTGTGAGTCGTATCACGTTTACCGTTAAACGATGAATGTTAGGTCTTGTGTATCTACTAGTTAATAGTACATACACACGTTTTAATGTATATTTATTTATTACGTTCTAAAGCCAGCTTTGGACGGCAAATTTGCTATTAAATTCTCACACAGTAAATCTTACATTTTAATATTGATTGGCTGTTCTTAAACGAACCTCAAATAGTTTTTTGTAAATTTGTCATTCTTTCTTTATTCTTTATTGTACACACAGTCAATACCATACAATAATTGCCAAAAATTATAAAATGGCGAGCTTAACTCAACAATTGAGTTATCTACCAGCTAACCGTTCTTAAAAAGGGAGAGCTTTACATAAGTGGGTAGAAGAGTACAATCTAATCAATAAGATTTTAAATAACTAAATAATAAATTAAAATAAATAATAATAAATAAATAAATAATAATAAATAAATAAATAATAATAAATAAATAAATAATAATAAATAAATAAATAATAATAATAAAAATTTACACTAATAAATAATATATCAGACTATATACATGCACAATTACACACATAATCTCAATTAAATGTTGGTAGTTGTTTTTTTTTTAAATAATACACTTTCGATATATATACTGTAAGAAATTCACGTTTCATATTTAAATGAAAAATCTAGTAAGTCGAAACCAAAGGTTTTCCGTTAGTATTCAACATTGTAGCGGTGCATAGAACTTCAAATAAATGTTCAGTTTATGTGAAATTTACATATTAAAATGTAACAGAAACGAGATTCCGTTCCTGTCAAGGCTATGACAATGTCAATATGTAAAGTTCATATCCACTTTCAATGTAGTGTATTTTACGTATTTTACGTTAGTAGAATACCTTGTACCTTGATCTATGATGTCATTATGCTTTATTAAAATGATGAGTAAAAATAAACTGCTTTGACGTTAACAAAAGTCAAAAGTTATTTAATTTAAAAAACAAATTTTCATTTTGGATTTTGGAAACTGGTTGTTTTTATACAAAATGCGACGGGCGACAAGAATTAATACTAGAATTAGGAGCCTACAAAGACGTGGAGTGGCTACAAAAAATGTAAAGTCTTCGAGATGTCGGAAATAATGTAATGAGAATAATAAACACGAGATTAAACTTCAAAAGTAGTTTTAATAATGTCTACGACTCGCCAAAACAGAACAAAGTACAATAAAATTACAATTTTACTTACCCTGCATGAACCTCCACCGCGTTTTTCCTTCCACCATTTCGTTTTGAGAATGTGCAATTTTCCTTCTTCTTGAAGTTTCAAAACAGCCCCGCTTATGGCTGTGCGATACGGCGAGTCTACACAAAGTATTCGTTTATAAATTTACTTTGATCTAATTTGATATGTTTCTAATTTTAAATGTAAAATTAACGTGATTGAATCAAAATTTAGTCCATTCAATATATATAATAAATTAAATACTTTCAGTCATGACTCATGGTTCACTTTGTTATCAGTACAATAATTTGTAGTTGAATACCTAAATTGGTAGTTAAATGTCGTTGTTTTATGGGGATTTTTTTTACTAAAATGGAAGCAAAGTGCACTGTGCATATTTTTTTTTATTATTAGAAGAAGAATAGAAAAACCATTAACTATTTTTAAATTTTGTAAAAATGCAAAGAGAACAAGATTATTTTTAAAAATCAATGTCGGATATAGCTCAAATGAAATTTTCTTTAAATTTTGTTGCTATTGTAAATAGTCGAGAATTAATTTTTTTCAGGCTCTGGCTTTCATAATTGTAACCGGATAATACACCTGTTTGTTAACTATTGAAAAAACAATTTTCATAGAAACGTCTCCAGTAGTTTTACGAGATGCTTCAGCAATTAGCTGTGATAGAAAAATAATGGATAATATTGGGGGAGGTCCATTCGGTATTTACGATGCTTAAGACTATAATTTCTATTATGGGATTAATGGCCAAGCTTAGGTCGTAGAGGTGCCGGTAGACGATAGACCGATGACATTGTCAGGACGGCAGTTCGGACCTGGATGAGAATGGCGGGCGATCAAACAAAAAATAGGGCATCGGCATAAAAAAAGGGCCTATGCTCAGCAGGGTATCAAAATAATGAAGGTAAAAAAAACAGAAAAATATAATTATACGAGGCCAAAGAAAGAAAAAAATTATTAAAGAACGTGAGTCATTTCCAAAACGGGGCAATGTGATGATGCTTTTTTTTTTTTCAGGAGGAAATCGCCGGACTTCCGCCCTCCACTGGGCCGCTGGGGATGGAGGGTGGGGCATGTCAGAGTCGAACTGACTAAAACCTCCTGTCGCTCAATAACCAACGTCCAAACCTCGCATGAGACAGAACTCATGAAAAGGCAAAGGGGGGAAAGCGAAGCGTTTAGAATGTGATAGTGCTAGTGTTTTCTGTTGAGATTAGATTAAAATAATACCGATCGAAAACGATTTTTTAAATGATACTCTTCACCCTGTATTGCACACCACGTAAAGCATATTATATAATATTCAGATAACGTACGGGTGACATTCGCGTGAACCCGCGTCGCGGTGACCGCTGGTTGTACTGGTTTTTTGTCTAGATTAAAAAGACATACTCGTACGTAATTACGTAAGACTTTAGTATTTATGTTTTATTTTATCTATATATAAATGGACAAAGACAACACTGACCTTTTTTTTCCCTACCTAAGCTGATAGCCTTGAGAGGCTATTTCAGCGTAACCTTAGCTAGTAGGTGAGCTCACGGGGTTCAAGCCGGAGTGATGCTAACACTGACCCTAGCAAGAGCAGTGCTTTGCAGAATCTACCACCGGATCGGAAACGCGACCCACTGAGAAGATCCGGCGAGACACTCAGTGGGCTGTCTCTGTGGGTTAATTCGCTCGTCAAACCCTTCGTCGCAAGCGACGGGTTCGACGAGGACGGTGACCGGTGCTTGTGGTACCTAAAAGTAACACTGACCAGTGTCTATTTCTCCTATTTCAACCGATCTTTTTATTTTAGCGAGCTTTAGTTCACACTTACAAAACTTCATTAACACAACAAAAGAATAAATATGTTAGATAATTTGAACTTAATTCTTAAGGTGTCAGTGATTTTGATTGAAAAATTTGGCTGAATATGAATATTTATTTTATGAAGAATATGAATATGAATTTCTATTCAGCCCAATCTAATTAACGACATTTACGTTCCGCAATGAATACGAAAAAAATAAAGGCTTGTTTATTGTTACAGTAAAAACAGAAACAAGTTTCTATGTTCGTGGACTGCAGTTCGCAAAGTTTATAATGGATCTGTACTAACTCGATTTGCCGATAGGTATTTATATAACTTTTCTCGTTAGCAGTTACCGTGTAACCAAATAATATTACTAGAGGTGGTTTCGAGTTAAATTAACTCTGGACTGTGCATTATTGTTCTTGATTTAATAAGCGCTACCGCATAAAGTCTGCTATCTTAAACACTTATAAGAGAAAATAACGTAACCGAGAATTTTTACTTTTTGAAATCAACATCATTATGTTGAAACATTGCAACGACACGAATTTATCGCATCATTTTTGTGCTCTCTATTTAAAAACTGTCAAATATTTGAAGTAGAGAAAAATGTTTACGTTTACAAAAATGAAAGCGTGACGAACTAACCATTTGAATTTAAATTAATTTGGCTCATTTTGTTTTTAATTATTTTCAGTTTGCAAATGCATATTTCATCGAATATTGTATTCAAGTACCAATTCTGATTACTGAATGGTCGATTAAATTTTTAAATTTTTAATAAACGGGGAAAAACGTCCGTAACGTAAGATTTTTATTAAGAATAATGCACACAGTGTACGACTTAACTTTGTAATAACGTGAAAATTAGTAATGGCCACAGTATACGACTTAACTTTATAATAACGTACAAAAATAACATATTTTTTTATCATTCATTGACCACGATCTCAGAGCGTTCGTTTGCGCAATACACTAATTCTTATGCAAACAACCGTGATTGAAGTGTACCACAATAAGTTCGCACGTTACCGTATGACCGTGGGTTGTTGTGAAACCTGCAGTTTTATTTTATTTACACCTCGAATAGAACTTTAAATTAATATTTTTATAATAAGGAACTTCGTTTCAATCCGGTGTCCCACGACACAACATATCTTTTTTTACTTACTTGGTGGCATAGCAATTCCATATCCTTTAGAGTCGAGCATCCCTCCGACTTGCGTTAGATCACAGTTCCTTTCCACCACATATTCTATGGTCGTAGACTCCATTAGATAAGCGTAAGCGCCCTTCCCCCTCACCACCCTTTCTTCTCCCTCCTTGTTAGTATTTGCGAATACTGATGGCCTGGCGGATTCCATGAATGACCACATTCGCTGGTATGTTGAAAAGTTTGAGTCCTGTACAAGTCAAACGCAATGAAATCTTGAGATTTAATATTTTTATATAACAATATTAAGAAACTATTATAGTTAAATTAAGTTATCTTTTTAGGACACTTTATTATAATTTCTTAATGTGTTGATAAGTCAACTTCGTCTTCAAAACTCAAACTACATTCCGTTTATTTATCAAATAAAAGTGTTCAAGAACTAATTAAGAACATATATAGAAATTGAAAACTATGAAAACATATAATTAAAGATTTTTTAATTAATTTTATGTACGTAGTTTCTGTATAATAATGAGTACTTTTCTCGTCTAAGCTAGCAAAGATTCCGATAAGGTCCGGCGTAATGCACATTGAGGTACCGTAATTAATAATGTATGTCGAATTAAAATGTAATTTTGATTTTAAATATCACACAATAGAAAATATTCACGAAAGTTGGAATTATATCAATTTTTGCGGTCACCTAAATAATGATCATTAAGCAAATTTTCATAAATTGCTAAATACGTAATTTCATGTTGAATTAACGAAACAAAACCGAATACATCTGTACAAAAGTAACACGGATTTTAAAATCCACCCGAATTATTAAAACAAAGTGTCATAAAAAAAGAGACAGTCTCTGTTTACGGCACGAAATAAGCCAGAATATATTATTTAACTTCGAAACAGAGACTACAGCGTTGTACTTTATTAATCTTTTATCATTCCCTTGAGCGAACTCGGTAGCGGCAATCTTTCTGGAGATTTCCACGACCACTGTATTCTGTACCGTACAACAACTACAAAATTTTTCATTTTAAAACAAAACGATTCTATTTATCACAAAATCATAACAACATTTTAAATGGAATTTTAGAAGGTATTCAGCGGTTTGAAATACAAAAAAAATGTGTCTACCGTCAGACACACTTTCATCATTAAAATACAATGGAACAGATTCTAACCCTGAAAAATGCTGCAGTTGACCCTCCTTTCAAAGCTCCGTATTTGATCTTAGTTTGTTTTGCGAGATCTTCTGCGCTCTCAATGGGCGAGTCCATTCTCTCGACGGTTAAGAACGCAGCCAAGTTGGCAGTGTAAGATGATATCATGATTAAAGTAAAGAACCACCACATCCCGGCCACCATGCGAGTTGAAACGGCTCTGTCAAATAAAATTCATATTGGGGAAAGTTTCAAAAAATAATCTAGGTATTCCAGCCATCCCGAGCGACTACTGCTTATTTCCAATATGTGTAAGAGAATCCTCATCTTAAACAATAATACTTACCTTACATTGCCTATTCTGAATCTATTATTTCCAAAAAATGTCGACATCAGGTATAGTACAGATAGATAGTTACAGTGTTAGTGAGAAAATTGCAAAAAGAAAATTATTAATTTATACGCACATGAAATTTTCATTCGGGAATTTAACATATTTTGATGTAAGGATTACTATCAGACTAATAGGGTCGGTTGGCTTTACAGACATCTGACCGTGGCAGAACACAAATCTCGAAATAAAGGACACGTAGTCGGATATCCGTGGGTTTAACCTTTCGAATAGAAACTTTCAACAGTAACTAATTAAAAAATATATAAAAAAAAATAATTTAAATTGTGGCAGAAGTGGAAACGCCCGTGTTAACGGAAGATTATAAAAAAATCATACTCACAATCGAGATTCTAAGAGAAAAGACTTGATAACAACCAGTAGATTCAATCTGTGCCTTTATTTATTCGTTTGAAATTATCGAACCATGTGCGAGTCGGGAGACCAACATTTAATTCATGTACAACAAAGGAAATTTACCTTTTAAAAATTTTATTAATACTAACTAACCTATAAAACTAGCATGCACAAAACTACATTCCATAATTTACTTATTGAGTGCACGAGTGAGTTTTGCTTTTTTTAAACTTTGATGCAGCAAGCCAAGGAACAAACACTGAAGTATTTAGTGTACCGTTATCGTTGTTCTTCACTATTTATTTATTTAGGAATAACATCACGAAGCTAATCTGGTTCAGAGTAGTTCGGTGTTGGGAAACTAGCAAACACGTCTCTATTTATACTACTCGCTGAAAACGAGCATCGATCCATGTAATTCAGAAAGGGATGTGGTCGCTTTGAAACTAATTAGCGAAAAGGAGTTGTTCATCCATACTCTGCAACTGAAGGCTACATTTCCACATTCTAATTACTGCGAGGCAGTTTCCCGAGTCTATTTTGACAAATTCGATATGCGGGAATCAAGAGTATGTTTCAAACGAGAATGTTGAACTCGATTTAAGTTTTTCTAGTTCAGAATTGTAGCCCACAAATATTTTATTAAGGACTTACTTCGGCGCGATATCCGAACCTTGCTGCATCAATGATCCGATAGTGAACCACAGCGAGTTCAACAGAGTGAACTGGTTCTCCAGCACTGGCGGCTCGTCAAGACAATTCCTGGGGCCGTCCCACTCGTACGGGCTGAACCTGCGCCCAAATATACCCCGGAATTTAGAAAATATTCATTTGCGGTACTTTTAGCTACTCCCAACATACTTTAAGTAAACATGATTCATGAAAATCTAAGCAAATTAGAGCTTAAAAAAAATTTTGTAATGTTTCACAGCCCAACGAGCGCAATTAAGTAAAGTAAAGCTAAGTTTGCTGGGAGTATTCGTAAACAGTTACACGTTTGTATAAATATCGCTGAGTTCACTATACAAATAGTAGTGTCCAGAAATGAAATTGTATTGTAAAAGAATTCAATAAAACCGAATTCGAATTTAATCAAAACAATGTAACTTTCATTTCTGGCTTTGACAATGAAATGTTAAATCACCTAATTTATTTACAACTGGCCATAAGTCCAGCCATTACAATCTTACTTGGGCAAAAAATCACAGCTTTGTTGCATTAGAGATCCGATTGCAAACCACAAACAGTTTGCTAGAGAGAAAATATTCTCCATTTTTTCGCCCTCAGGTGAATGCGTTTGATGCCATTCGTATGGAGTGAACCTATCGGACGAATACATTTAGCTTTTCGATGCATGAGATATTCCTTATTCTGATCACGTCCAACGAGGTCACGATTTTGCAACGACGATTTTTCTTTTCATTTTATAAAGTATATTTTTCGTAGGATTTGGTAATTGGTTATTTACATTGATTATAGTTTTGATTTAAGCTATTATAAAATATATTTATATTATACTATATAATATTATAGTTTCTCATGTTTTATTTTCAAAAACAGCATGATTTCAGTTTCATTTTTCTTGGATTATATTTTCTTGTAGAAAAAATTATAAAAAGAGTCGAAGGCAGCAAAAGTTTTGTAATACAACTGAGCCACAAATCATTTTGTTGATGAAACTTTTAAGTGTTTATTCTATTCCAAAATACTTTAAATTTAATTAAATCCCCTAACAAACTTCTAGCACTTAATCAATTATTTGCTCCGTACAATACTTGTTAAAGAAACTTAGACGAGAAAATAAAGTCCATAAATACCTTGCCAATATAAACAGCAGCACAGAAACCCCTAAATAGGCAGTTGCCATATAAATCCACACGTCCAGTGATAAAGGAGAAAGAAATGAGAAGAGGTTCGGGGGCTGCTTTATTGGTTTGCGGTAAAGCACTGAAATGCCGAGGTTCATGAATGGCATCGTGAAATCGACCACTTGCTCTCTGTACACAAAAAAAAAAAATATTATTATAAAGTATATAATTATATGTGTTACCATTCCTTGTAAAATTTGAATATTTTTATTTTCGTAATTATTTTTGAGATATTACACTAATGTGTCAATTAAATAATTTTAAAGTGGTAGGCATTTCTTTTAGGTGTGAAACTAATCGTGCAACGAGTGCTATTGTTACTTAAGTAATTTTCGTATTGTTGTAACAGAACATGTAAACTATAATAATTTCGATTGTAAATTATAAGTACGTAGCCATCTTTTTTTAAACTTATAAAATATTTTAAATGTCAAGTTCAAATGTTAAAATTAATTTACCTGTCGTAGGTAATGGTGAGATCTGCTATGGCAAGGTCTGCTCTTTGCTCGAGAAGCTCCCTAATCATTCCATCCCATTCTTTGGTTTCACGATTGTACGACCCGTATCGACCGTCAGGAGCCAGTTTGAATGTATAATTGAAGCCCAGAATTTTAGATATCTCATGAATAAGATCTATTGCGTAGCCCTCGAATTGTGCGTTGCCTGTTAACTTTTCGCTCGCTTCTTTCCTCATACAATACGGAGCACTCTAAGGAATGAAAACATTTGCTTCTCAATCGATATTAAGAAATTTCCTAAAAGTTTTCATCGTAAATTTATTTGAACTAGTGTAGTACTATATATAATTTGAAAACACATAAAACAAAACTGGATTTATGTTAATGGATGTCATAAAATGGATCCAGTAACATTTTCGATCATGAATGTTTTCTCGCGGGGAACATATTCATTCGACTTTCCGTATACTAAAATACATAAATCATCTTTTCAGGTCCCACGAGAACATTCTAACGTCCTTGTATCAAACGCTAATTTCGCTTTTGTGAGCCACAGGAGCCCAATAGAATAATATAATAGATTAAAGCCTATAATTTTGGAGTGATAGATTACTTACCAAAATTGTTGTCACTACAAGAGTCTTATTTTGCAAAATTTCAACGATCTGTTTTTGGTTCTCGCCGTAAGATCTCGTATAGTTAACTCCTTCAGACGAATTCCAAGTTCCAGCTTTTTGGAGACCGTCCCTTGTCAATTCGATTATATCTAAAGTGAAATCGCTTCTAAATCCTTGATGATCGAACTTTATAACTCCGGTTAGTCCTTTCATTTCGACCTGTTCATTGTGTTAAATTAAGTAAAAACAAATTATAATTTGCGTAATTACTGGTGGTAGGACCTCTCGTGAGTCCGCACGGGTAGGTACCACCACCCCGCCAATTTCTGCCGTGAAGCAGTAATGCGTTTCGGCTTGAAGTACTATACTAAGACCTTAGAACTTATATCTCAAGGTGGGTGGTGCATTTACATTGTAAATGTCTATGGGTTCCAGTAACCACTTAACATCGGGTGGACTGGGAGCTCGTCCACCCATCGAAGCAATAAAAATAAAAATTACCGATTCTGATGCTAGCAACTAGTACTGGTCGAAAAGTGTTTTACAATTCTTTATGGGTATACGCTACGATTTAGCCCATTTCTGCTACGTAAAAATTATACATACCAATTTGAAGACACAAGTCATTTATAATAATACTGAGACAAGTCTATGGATTACGGCGACCTCTTATCATGAGATGGGCATAAAGTCATATTTAAATCTTGGATATCCAACAATTACAATTCGATTATCGAGTGTGACAGATATAGAAGATTTTTTTTTAAATAATTGAAACTAGTTTTACAGTTCAATCTTGCGTTTATTTGTGACGTTTGCGATAACTACTCGTCTGTGACGAATCGAAGCTTCGGAAATAATAATTAAAAAAAGTAACAAACGTAAGGCTATATAAAAATTAGCGTTAAATTGTGTTTACAACGCGCAAAAACCGAAGAAAACACTATAATTTAGTTTATCCTTTTACAAATTGTATTGGTTTATTTCCAATACTTATGAATGAAGTTAATTATACCTAATTGGTTATATTGTAGCTAAGAAAAATATGTTAGCTTCAATTGATTAGGTATTAGTTTTAAGGAATAAAACTAGCAGTCAAATTTATAAGTTAAAAGCAGTCGGTGTTTTTTTTTTTAAATATTTAACTTCAATTATATTGTCTTTATACAAAAGAGGTTGTATAAATTGTTCTTCATTAACAGTTTTATATTCTCCAACTAGCAGTTTCGTTGTAGCTGAAATGAATTCCACAACAATTTTCTATCATAAAAAAGGTATTTAAAAACAGTTGCGTCGTTTAACCATTGGCCACAAGGTTTCTGGAATGAATTGGACGGGATTAAACAACGGAACTGTTTTGTCTGTAGGTACTATAGTACAGTTGCTTAAACATTAAGTTTTTTGTTGTATTTGGTTTAAGCTTTGTTATTTTATTGTTATATAATAATTCTTGTTATAAAAAATTTAGATATATCATGACGAATGGATTTTAAATTCAACTAACTTTAAGTACGAGGTTGAGATCTCAATTTAATGATATTACTGGCTAAAAATAAGGTTGGGAATTAAGATGACGTTAAGGATTGGCAATTTTTGCGTATTTATTTAGCGTGTTTCTGTAGAAGTACTTCGAGAACTTCTTAGAATAACTATTAACCAAAGACAAAATCTTACCATCCATAGTTTTAATTGCTGTCAGTGCAAACAAACCGAAACAGGTGCTATGCAGTTTTTTGCTTTCTATGACTACCATAGTACTACTATTTAATATATTGTTTTATCAAGAGCCTAATCTATGGCATTTTAATATATTTCAATTTTATACCTATGCTACGTAATACTCTAATACTTTAGAAATTTAACTTACCAAATCAGCTTATTCAGTGATCCCAAAACGATTTATTTATATTCTTAGCAGAAATAAATGTTTTCACGGTGAGTAATGAAAAGGCCGATTACATAAACGAGATTGAATGGGTGCGTAGGCAAAATCTACTTACGATTTTCATATAATTGATGAGGCTATACCCATGGGGCCATGTATCTTCAGCCTCACAGGAGAGCGGTCTCACGTCGATTTGCTGAGATGTATCGAGATCGTGTAACGCTTTCGCGAACAAATGTACTGCATCATACATCAAAGCTGTTTCTGTCTGCTCAAAAAATATATTAATTATTTAAATCATATACTGAACAAATCTATGTCGTGTTATTTCACCTCACCTTTATAAATGTCATATTTTCCTGGAAAAAAAAACAAGTATTACATAATATTATACTAGTTATAACTAACATCCGTAATTTTGTAAAAAAAATTGCATTTACTTTAGCTGTCGTGTGTCCTAATTGCAATTTTCGACCTTTTCTTGCCTCATCGTAAACCCAATCTCGCACCACCCATTGAACATCTGCTCGTTCCGGGTCGAGCAGTCTTAAAGCAGTTATATTTGTTCCCCCGTATTTAAACTCTTCCAAATCTACGCTGTGAAGATCCTGTTGAAATTCAAATTGCGTTAGACACGTCGTGTAAGGAGGAGGGAAGGAAAGTTCTACAAGTTTCCAACGAGCTTACCAAAGATGTGATAAGGTAGCTATGGTAATCCGACATCATTCCGATTTGTTGTGCTTGTTGGAGTACATCCCTTATTCTTTCGGTTGCGCAGTCGAGAACAATGTGGGACTCGGCCGAGTTTTTTATTTGTTTCAGAAGGGGTCTGTAAACAAGGGAAAAGTTTTTATCTTCGTCGAGTTCTGTATAATCAAATTCTTCATGTATTCAATTTTCAGACAGTTGGAAATATCTAAATTACCCGCGTTGCTTCTAAAATTAATTTGTATGTGTCAGTGAGATATAATTAAAAACTCTTTAAACTAAAGATATTACACATCTTTTTTTTGTACTGCTAAATTAACTGTTGATATGATTTAATTTCGCATTTTTCATTCTCATTACATTATTAGTGACGTTTCGAATACTTTACATTTTTACAGTCACCCAGAAAAATAAAAAACGCGAGCTTAAACCGTAGAAATGGTTAAAATTCGAACTCGGACGGACGACTCGGAAAATTTGAAGAAAATGTTATATTTCTCAAAACGTATAATTTGTAAGCTCCGATTTATTCCTTACCTATAGTCATGAGAATCTGGAAGCTGTCGAACAGATACAGGCAATTCTGAAGGTCCATGTGCTTTGAGCAATTCCTGCAGACGAACTAACCCATCGCTATTTTCGTATACTATAGTAAAAGATTTCCAACCCCAAGCTCTAACAAGATCTACGTACGCCTAGAACAGTATCACAAAAGATTAAATTGAAAACAAAAAAAAAACGTAATTCAAATCACTTATAGATAAGAACTTAGTCTTGATTTATTATTATATTTTGATATGATTATTATATACTTCACAATGTTAGGAATGTCATAAAAGGGACAGTAAATTTAATAAAAAATAATGGACAACAAACTCTATTAATATTCACATCTAAAATATATATACAAACAAATAGAAATAGAGTTTGTAATGCAAAAAATAGCTTTGAGTTAAATCAATGTGAACCAATATTAGTTACTGATCAGAATAAAAAACGGCTTTGGTAATAATTGTCTGTCTGTCTGTTTCACTTAATCTGCGGACCAGCTGAGTCAATTTTGGCAGGAATTTCACAGGCAAGTTGTGCTTTTTAAAAGGAATAATTGAGATAACATGTGGTTAATAAAATTAATTAGAGTTTCTATGAATTGTGAACAAAATCCGATTAAATAGAGTAGGCTTATTATTAAATAACATTAAGCAAGTCCACAGTAAAGGGTGAGCTGACATTACACCTTGACATTATAAAATATAATTTCAAAATTAACATCTAACAAAAGAATTTGTATATTTGTATGACGACCCATTGTCCCTTTTATCTCCCAAACATTTTCTCGTCAGCTATCTCTCTGTTGCGTCCTTTTATTACTATGATTCGATCAACCTAATTGCGGATGTCCAATCTTCCGGTTGATTTCGCAATTTCATATAATATTTCGTGGGCCGTTTACTGATTTTTACTGACGGCTTTTATGCCTCTGTTTTGAAGCCGTGAAATTGTAATAAAAAAATGCCCATAGAAGGTTATGTCGTATTGCTTTGTAAAAACATTTGAAACTCGAACGCAGTTTCGAATTAAGTTAATGGCGCAGTGGTATTTAACGACGTCATTATTTGAACTACAAACCATTAACGCTTTTGAATAATACATTGTCATGTTATTAATTATTATTTATATAATAATGAATACCTAGGATCATAAGGTTTTAAGGTTAAGCTAGTTTTGACGTTCATTTTTATTTTTTGTTTTATTACTATTATTATTGTTTTTGTTTGATGCCGTAATTGTAGTTATTGTTTTATTTTATTCAGGTATAATATATGAAATGTTAATAAATGTAATATGGATACAAAATCTGAATTAAATGAAAAAAAATGAAAATAAAAAAAATTATAAATAAGTAATGAGATTTTAGACGTGACGACATTCACTATCTAACAAAAATCTTAAAAGAATCTTATTGTAGAAAACAAAACCTTTTCCAATGTTTTACAAAACTAACTAATTCTGTGTATTCATCATAAAACGTACCCTACTGAGCGCAGCTGGATGTGGGTAAAGGTTTACGAGGCAAGATTCCCGGCGTGTGCGATAGTCCCATCTGGTTTCTAAGTGGGGCAGTTCCATCGTGTCGCATATGGACTGGACGTGAGCGGCAGCGGGTGCTGATTGAGGGCCGAATATTGCTGCAACTCCGCTTCGCAGAAGATGACATACTAATAAAAAATATCGCAATCGATGTAATAAAGTTTTAAACACAAGTTAACAAAATGATTTCTGGTTTAATTTATCTGATATCAGCATCTGATCCGATACCTGAATATACTCTTAACATTTTTATCTCACTAGTTCTTCTTCAATCAATCACAAACATTCAAGTTTAATATTGCAACAAATTTTTCAACGGTTATCTTGGATGGTTTTAAAATTAACGAAGCTTAATCTCAATCAAGGAAGATTGAGAACGGAACTTGAGTTTAATTCAACCGTTTCCTCACCTCGTTTCGAAGCATGAAAACTGTCCTGCGGAGAAATCGTTTCGACTTGGGCTAATAGTTTGGCTCGCGGCAGTAAGGTGCGGTCTGCATTAACTCTTTCGACTGCGTAACGAAATGCAACCTCTTGCTTATCATCTTCAGGGTGAAAGAGTCCACCTAATATACAAAGAGATTTTTTTGTTATTCTAGTTTTTGATTCTTCTTGCAATGCTGTGTCTTTATATCGTGGAGGGTTTCCATATTGTAAATATTTGGTATAATTTTGCATGTGTGGTAAGAAACTGTCCTGCGGAGAAATCGTTTCGACTTGGGCTAATAGTTTGGCTCGCGGCAGTAAGGTGCGATCGGCATTAACTCATTAACGAAATGCAACTTCTTGCTTATCATCTTTAGGGTGAAAGAGTCCACCTAATATACAAAGAGATTTTTTTGTTTATTTTTTTTTATTGGCCTTGTAGGCAGACGAGAATACGGCCCACCTGATGGTGAGTAGTTACCGTCGCCCATGGACTTCAGCAATGCCAGGGGCAGAGCCAAACCGCTGCCTACCGCAAAATTATTTACCGCATAATTATTTTAGTTTTTGATTCTTCTTGCAATGCTGTGTCTTTATATCGTGGATGGTTTTCATATTGTAAATATTTGGTATAATTTTGCATGTGTGATAAGAAGCGTTTTGCCTTCGGAGCCAGGCTCGATCAATTTGATACTCAAAAGATTTTCACTGTTTCGTCCAGACCGACTTCCAAAGTACGTAGGTGTCAGAAAATTTAAATGTTACAACAGAAATGTTATGTAAAACAGAACGTCGTAAACGGGATAGTAGTTTGGGCAATTTCGCAGCTTAACGACAATGTAATGAGTATTGTTCTCTTCTACTTCAACAAGTATTTGTTAAGTTTCGTTTTATGTTACTTAGCAAGTACATGTAATCAAGCTGTTACTGTAAATGTTACTACAAAATATTAAAGAAGAAAAAATTTTCGTTTTTAGTTATTTATTTAAAATATTGAATCGCCACAGAAGTTTGCACACTGTCTTTGAGTCATGAGATCAAACTCCATGCTAAATAGCAATCCTACCATTTAAACAGGAAATCGCTAATAATAGCGATAAAAATAATAAAGTGATTAATATTTAAGTCAGCATGAAAAATAAATTTTAAAATGATGATAAAATATAAGAAATTCATAATTTTATAAACCATTTTAAAATTTATTAATATAATGTTCTTTTTTGTTCTAAAAACTTGCGCAATCTTTCAAAGTGAATTTTAAAACGAGTTCATTAATTAATTGCATCAATTTTAATGAAGCAGTCAGCCATTCATTTGTGATTTAATCTAAAGACAATTCAGAGATTTATTGTAATTTAAATCTCTAATCGCATATTTAATCACTGATTCACTAATTAATTGTGATTCATAGTTGAGTATTTAATGCAGTTTTCAATTTATTTAAGGTCAACTTCTCAAAAGAATCGATAAACTTGTTTGAATTACCTATCCTTTTTTTAATGGAATAAATACATCAATTAAACAAAATATGAGCATTATTTCATATTCTAACTTAAAATTCCCATCATTTCCTATCCAAATTCATAAACAAAAAAATCTTGAGCTTAATACCGCGCTGGTTGTGTAACTAAAGATCAAATACAAAATGGAGAGCTTTTGTGCCAGCTCCAACTCGCAGGAAAATGGGTAAGGAGAAGCAAATAACATTAATAAATGTATTACTCAAAGGATTTCAGTAAAATTCAGTAAAATTGTTTCAACAAATCGACAGTATACAAAGACGGTATCACCATCAATCTAAATTAAAAGTACTTCAGGTATTTTAATTCTAGCTTATTAAAATCGAATCGTTATTGTAATATTGCGGTTGCCTTGATCAGAGGATTTAACAAAAATACACCAAGGCTTATTGGAATTAAGATTGAGTTTAAAACTGTATTTTTGTGACAGCATTCTGTTCCCTGCGGGGAATAAATTACTTTGAGCTTAATGACACCAGTGAAATCTTCATTGACGGTGAAATGAAATGTTCTAATTTTAGAGGCAAGACTGAAGTCCACTTAAATTATATTAAGATGTATCTTAGAAAATTGATAAAGGTTGCTTTTGTGTTAGTAGATGTGTAAATGACCTCTCGTGTAAATGATTATCGAAAATAATATATGCATTATTATTTTCTACCTAGTGCCACCACATAGTGCGTCACCGCCACACATAGTTAGACATGATTTTGGAGTAGTGATTATATTATAGGTATAGCGTTTTTGTCATTTTTTAAGCAAGTACGTATTAATACATACTTAACATATATTTTTATGTGATAAGTAGGTAGGTACCCCCCCACCTTCCCTATTTCTGCCGTGAAGCAGTAATGCGAATCGGTTTGAAGAGTGAGGCAACCGTTGTACCGTAAAAACGGAGACCTTAGAACTGATATCTCAAGGTGGGTGGTAGCATTTACGTTGTAGATGTCTATGGGCTCCGGTAACTACTTAAAACCAGTGAGCCGTGAGCGAGTCCAACCACCTAATCAATAAACAATAAAAATAAAGAAACTTATACACACACACACGTTCTTAAACTTATAATACACGCCACCACCTGCTTCAACATCACAAAGAGATTAGGCAACACTAATTAAGATTATGATGTATTTTCTTGTTTTATGTGACCGCAGATTGATTTACTAATCTGGAGTTACACGATATTAAAAATATCTGACCATATAAAACAAGAGTGCTTGATAAAATCACAAATACGGACGGAAGATTCTTTCATTCAGCGTTTTGGGTTACATAATAAGAACATACCTATTCGTATCGTGTCCGGAAGAGCCGAAAGGTGTCCAAAGAATAGTACGAGGAAAACGACTTTTGTTCCTCTCATCCTGTAACAAAGTTATAAGAGAATTGCCATACAACAAAAACATAGATCTGCGTAAATAAATCTTTCTTTTCTACGTATCTAATGTCGTGACGTAAAACTGATTAACGAGATTATGTTATTGTATATTTGAAATTCGAAATCTAAAAACAAGCTTATAACGAATATACATATCGGCGACTCTTAGCGCATCTGATTTTTGGACCGAAAGTTTTGGGATCGATTTGGGTCAACATTTGTACGACGCGCATGTGTTTTTATTGTTATTATTTTTTCTACCTTTTCTATTGTCCTCGAGGGTTTTTCTAGATTCACCGAGCTAGTAGATGAGCTCACGGAGCTCAAACCGGGAGTGTTGCTAACACTGGCCCTAGCAAGAGCAGTGCTTCGCAGAATCTACCACCGGATCGGAAACGCGACCCACTGAGAAGATCCAGCGAGAAACTCAGAGGGCTGTGTCTATGTGTTAATTTACTCATCGAGCCCTTCGCCGCAAGCGACGGGTTCGGCGAGGACGATGACCGGTGCTTGAGGTACCTAAAAGCACTGTTAATGGATCAGGAGCATCCGTAATGACGTGTTTAGGGCGACGTTGACTGTTTACCATTCGGTCTACAGGATCGGGTATGTAATACCGGCGGCCACGACAAGAAGGATTTCATGTCGCGCCATCTTCTCAAAGGGGCGCAATGATGTCGACTGTAGGTATTTACTGACTGAGTCATCATGGAGATCCACGTTCCTTAGTAATCATGATGCTCCGACGACTATCCTGCAATGGTTTCTTAGTATAATATGCTTGTTGAATATATGAAGGAAAGGCGGTTAACCACTATAACGCCGGGTCCAATAAATTTCAGTAAAAAATTTCATATATAATTATTATGCATCCAACATAAAATAATTGAACGCGGTAAAGAAAATTGGACGAGATATATTAAAGAGAAAAATATACTGAGCTATTTTATAATTGTACATTTATTAAGCTCGCATCTTTTCGATTACCATAAACACTACTTATTTTTGGGCTCTAGCAAAAAAAACATGAGTTCATTACTTCGATCGTACCGAGCTTTCTTTTTTTGATTAGAAACATCTTACAAACATTGTAGTTGCACACATTTTTGTTTATTATAATATAGCTAAATGGATTATTACGCGCTTGTGTCAATGAATGAAAAACGAGCTGATATGTATTATTATTATTATCTTTATGATTGAAAGATTACCGGTGGCCCGGAGGCCTATCCAGTTTCACCAGGACAGGTGGGCGAGCAAAGGCTCAGCCAGGAGGGGTGGGATTTGCTAACAACTGCCCGAGCGCCTCCGAAGGAGACCTAACGACTCAAGGGCAATTGCTTCGGGAATGAATCTACTACTGGATATGTATTATTGTCACTGTTACCGCTGTTAACACTTACACTTTGGAAAAAATGACTTAGGGCTCTCAAAGCAAATAATGTGATTCATTTATTTTAGCACTTATTGTTTAGATCGGTGTTTAAGAATAATACAGTGGTGTTATTGTTCGTTGTTCATAACACGCTGCAAGTTGACAGTTAAATTGGAACCTGTAGTTATGTCGAAAAAATTTACTGCAAGAACATTGTTTCCGAAACTATTATTAAATATTATTCACTTTTTCAATTGAATTTCACGAATTTTCGGCAGTTTTTCGGACTAAGGAATTGCTGGTTAGCTGGCTGTTTGTCTTTTATGCTTAATGTTTACTTCCAGCTTAATACCGACAATCATCCAACCAATGGTGTATGCTTAAATGTGTGCGCAATGTTTTTTTATTAAGTTCAGTTCATTAAAAGTTGATCAAAAATCACACTACGGAACTCAATTCGGTGAATTATGAATCTGTAATACATAGAAAGTCGAAAACCTTTCTTATAAAATAACATACATACGCCTAAGGTTAATGTGATTAAATGTTAATCTTTATTAGCTTTTCAGACTGCTACAGAATTTTGCCGCCACCTTGTAAATACATATTTACGCTAAGAGCAACGACCTAATTATGTTGAAAGCATTCTCCTTTATTATGAAAATAGTTAATTAGCTTTCTCTTAAGTATAACCTGAATATCTGCTTATGTTTTATTTGATGTTTGAAACAGTTACGGTGTGCGCAATTTTGTTTTGTTTTATTTATTTACGAAAGACACACATTTTTACTATTTGTAGGACAGCACCTCACTATTTCTGCTGTGAAGCAGTAATGCGATCTAGTTTAAGAATATAATAGCCAATAGGAAACATCGATTCGGACTGGGACCTCACGTTTCAAAGTCGACAACAATCACGTAATTCTTATCGCACTGTAATAATAAAGTACTATGCTTATAGTTGACCCAAAACAAAAAATTTTTTTTTTTTGTTGTTTCTTATTCTAAACTAGATGACCCGGCAGACTTCGTAGTGCCTCATTCGATAAATAAAAGACCTAAACTTTTGTATAAAATAAACTTGAAACAAACAAAAGGAGTCCGTCCGACGGGGGACACATCAAAGGAAAAACATAATTGTTATTCCGAGAATTTTCACATTTATTTACCTTTCAAACCTTCTTTGGACTTCCGCAAATAATTCAAGACCAAAATTAGCCAAATCGGTCCAGCCGTTCTCGAGTTTTAGCGAGACTAACAAACAGCAATTCGTTTTTATATACATAGATAGATGTAAAAATATATTTTATGATTTGTATACAGAAACATAAATACATTGAACTATTCGTAAACTAAAACAACCATCGTGAAGATATATTTATGCAGGAAAACAATGCTGAACGAACACAAAGATAGGAAGTCATTAGGTGTCCTTTTTCTCAAAGGTCAACAAAGGTAAAGTTTCCAAAACAAATCGCTGAAAAAATCCGTGTGACTCAATATTATATTTAAGGTTATGTAAAACTACATAGGAGAAACATTTTTAAATTTGTTGAAATTCGAATTAGGTCGATTGAGTTCGGGTCCAAATTATATGGTTCTTTTTGTATCTTTCTAAATTCGGATTAAAAATTGTTAATTATTTTCATTTTGAAACAATTCTTCAGTTAATAATTATAAATATTGTTATCCGTCCGGTAATTCCGTAGAAACTAGCGATGGACGGTAAAGGAAATTTTTGGGAACCAACCAAAAATCATGTTGGAAAAATCAGAATCAAAATCCAAATTATTAATGTTCTCAAACGAGCTGAAGACAAATCATAATAATGCAGAGTTTTAATTAAGTTTAATTCTGAATGTGTTACAGTGTAGATATAAATCTATAAATAAATGGACAAAAACACATCAATGCCTCTTTTTCCTTTGAATGTCAACCGATTTTCTTTTGTTTCGTAGCTTTTGAAGAACGCTATGAATAAAAAAAAAAACATTTTAGAAATCGTTTTTTTTTCTGTAAAAACAAGAAAAAAGTACAGTAACAAAATAATTTAAATTTTGAGGTGTCAATAATTAGGGTTGAATTTCCACCACTGGGCGAACACCAGCTATTACTATTGCGGCTAACATCGCGGTTAACAATAATTGATGCAACACTATGTTGTCATTTTGTAAATTAGGAAGCTCTATTTCATATTTAATCGCACAATGTGGGTGAACGCGATTGTATTTCAATGAACAATTTCAGGTCTTCATTTGATTAAATTATCCCCTCATCTGGTTTCATAATGTAGCTGGCATGCATCGTTGATCGTTTCAAATTTAAATAAAATAATTTGTTTGGAGATTTCTTCGAAATTATAATAACGTAATGTGAGACAAAGTCTGTAACAAATTGTTTCTATTATTTGCCAAAGATAGTAGACAATTAACTCAAATAAACCTGCTACACGTGCCATTAACAATGTCAATAGTTTCGTGTTGCGTTCACACGATTTTCAGTAAACACTGGAAAATGTGGTGGTAGTTCGGGCTTAAACGTAGCTCTTGCGCGAAATTCCCTTGTTTCAGGAGCACAAATGCACAAAAGCAGCTCATTTCAAGAGCATAAACAACTGTTTCAAGAGCTTGATTACTAAATTAAGAAACAGCTGTATCTGGCCTTTAAATTTTCGGAGTAATTTTAACTTTTGGGGCTTCTTATTTCAAATATATTATATAATTCACAAGCAACACTACTATGTAATAATATATTATAAACACAATAAACATGGACCTACTAAACTAATAAAGCAGATGCGAACCGTAACTCTAAAATTTCTAAATTAATTTGTTGATGTTTGTTCGCTCATTCATCAATCTCTTCATGAATATTCGAAAATTTCTGTAATAATTAATTAATAGATTTTACAGACATCAATCACCTTTGAAATTGATTAATGAACGATATAAATATAAATCCATTTATAAAAAAATATCTACGAACTTCATCAGTCGTCCTTAGATTCAATTAAGGTTCCCTTCAACTCACGCTTTCTTTCGACGTGACAATGAACCAATTACAAGCATACCCTTTTGCTGTGAATGATTCAAAGAAATTTAAATGAAACAAATAAATATTCAAAATTAATTGATTTGTGGATTCAAAGCTTAGGAACTTTTTAAAATTATTAAATATTGACAATAATACAAAGAAACGCACCTGTTCAGGTATCAACCTCAATTTCTCGTACAAACTGCTGAATACATTAAATTCACTGTCATAATAAGTCACACTAAAAATTTACTACGAAAATTACCCACCATTCACAACATAGAGCGAACATTTTCACGCATTCGTACGATTTAATTAGCCCGACCGTTTCAATTTATAAGACCGCGGTTTGTTGTGACTTGCAGTCGGTTTTGGCACGTGATTCCTCTTGTTATAGTGTTGTAAATTGAATGAAATATCGATTTGTGTACGATGTAGATTTAGGCCCGTGAAACGTAGGACGGCCGCCCGCGATGTTGGCGTTGGCAAGCTGACGGCTACAGGGCACGAGCGCAGAAGCCTTATCGCGCCTGCGCGCAAGCTCCCTGATATTGTCGACGATACGAATGGACATTATTATGCTTTATTTTTCTAGTAAGGGACAAAAATTATATTTTACTGTAACGGTGCTAGAGCAGCTTTTGTTAGAGCTCTTGGTACAATATGATATTGGTATAAGGCTTCAATTTAAGAAAGCGCATACCGAATTTTATTATTCGTGTACAAGTACATTGTTTATAGAATTTTAAATAAAGTCATTGATTTTTATATTTTTGTAGTAAATAACACTAAAGAGTGTACGTAATTTATTTTAGTAGCCGCGAATAATCCGCTTATGGTAGTAAAAGATAAGAACTATATTACTTTTTAACGTCGATATTTATTGATAATTTTTATCACGATTACCAGCTAAATAATTAGAAAACTGAACATTAAGTTTTCGTGCGAGTAAAAAGTCCTAACGGATGGAAGCGCCGCCTAGTTCTCGCCTCGTACGCACTGTGTCCGTTGAACTCGCGTTGAGGATTCGTATCGTCAACGCAAATTGTCTTTTCATTATTCACACCCCGATTATTTCGCCTTTTGACACAAAGCAATAAGACACGCAAGCAAATCTAAAGGCCGTTTGTGTAATATAAAATAAACATGATGCTAGCACGTACATACAATCGTGTAAGTTCCAAAACACACTCCAGATTTATTTTCCAAAGTCTCAAAATATTTTAATAAAAAAGTAAAGGAATATTTGTAAGGAATATAAATGTTAAATAAAGCTATCAGAAGCGTTAAGCATTATGACACTGGGTAAAATATAAATAAATCAAAATAGTAAAAAATATAGGAGTATTTTATATTCAACATATAATTGGACAAGGTAAACAAAGCTTGGTTGAGAAATAGAGGAGAAAAAGATACTGAAATATTTTGTAATTGTACATTGATTAATGTTGTAATTGTTGTGGAATACAGGAGAGGTTTTTGTTGTGACAACTACTCGCTAATAATAAATCAACGCATTACAGGTGACGCGCATGTTGTTTCAGTAAATTGGAATATTTGGTGCATTTTGTGATAATCACAGTAGACCGTGGTCAGGGTTCATAAGCTAACAATAATTTAAACAAGAAGACATTACTTACTCATCATTACTTACTCATTACATCTCAATATTATTTATAAATTTAAAACAAAATTACGTCTATCCTCAGGGCCCCAAATCTATAATTTTGTTCTGTGAATGCGGAAAACACATATGCGGAGTACAAAAACAAACCGGAGTCATTAACCAACTGACCAGTGTGTTGATTAATCAAAATAATTTCGAAAAGCTTTTGAGAGACGTAAAATGTGAGAGAAATTACTTTTTTAATAAGCTTTTTTTGTTTTTTTTATTGCTTAGATGTGTCGACAAGCTCACAGCTCACCTGGTGTTAAGTCGTTACTGGAGCTTATAGACATTTACAACCTAAATGCCGCCACCCACCTTGAGATATGAGTTCTAAGGTCTCAGTATAGTTACAACGGCTGCCCCACCCTTCAAACCGAAACGCATTGCTGCTTCACGGCAGAAATAGGCGGGATCGTGGTACCTACCCGCGCGGACTCACAAGAAATCCTACCACCAGTAGCTGTAAACTACGTCTAAAATAAATTAGAGGCTTAAAAAAATTCACACTAATTTCTTTTGTCGTTTAATTGGCAGTACTAATTCGATGAGTTTTATTGATTAGATGCGATTTCATCCTATCATACTGAGGTATTGAGAGCGTTGGGTTGTTTATTTCCAAATTGCGGAACTGTATTGAAGACGCCATCGTTATTGTTCAGACTTTATTGTATATAAAAGGGACCGGCTATACGCCTAATCATTTTGTTTTCCTGGCAAAAGCACTATAATGGCTCGTGTCATTTATTTTAATTTGTAAACGTTTTAATATTGAAGACTTTGTGGGTTTTTTTTAAATGCGATAATGGCAACTTAATTGCTCTTAAAAACAGCTGCTTCTTTAAACAGGACCGCGTAACTGTCACTCGGCAGATATAAGCAGAATACCTGGTTTTGCGATCAGAAAATACTCTCCAACCTCAGTAATTACGCCAATTTAAAAATTTTACGGGTCTGATTTTTTAAACGATGTTATTCTTTGTCTTCACAGTGGAAGTCGTTCGGTTATTGTTTTCATGTGTATGTGTGTTTTTGTGTGAACCAAACATTGAAATACAATTTAACATATTCAATACACATTTTAAACGTATTATACAAGTACAAAAATCTTGATGAAATAAAAAAAAAGTAATTCGATTCTTCAGATAGGTAAAGCGAAATTACTAGGTCGGATCACTGTTACGAGGGCAAAACGTGACGCATTAACACGAATTCTGCTATTAGATTTCCCGGTGGATTCTAAAATTAAAGGCCATCACTGCGCCCTTCAGCCTTTTTCGAAACATCATTAAATTATTCATTTGACGATTTTTTTAAAAATATTAGCCGTTATGTCTCGAAAACAATTTTACAAGAATCATCGCTGCCATGAAGTGTTTTAGTTCGGTGAGAGAAACATCAATCGAATTATGATAAAATCGAATTTGAACCCCAGTCACGCGTGATCTGCGGAAACGAGGAAAGTTCGCCGTAAGTGGTCCCTTTTCAAGGATATCGCATATACATAAAAGCCTCTTTGAGACCTCCCGAGTAGTTTATGAATGTACAATCCAGGCAGTATTGACCTGAAGGGAAATGTAGTCTATCGATATTGGCGAGTGTAGATATTCAGAGGCTTATGTAGATTCATGGTATCATAGTAGTATCGTTTTGCTAAGCTGTTAGTAGTGGTGAGCGCTCTTTGTAATGGTGTATTTGTTAAACGCTCTTATTATAGTGAACGTGCTATTTGAAAATATGTAAATACAGTAGACTATTTTTTTTAACATTCCGTGTTGTTGACAGACCCACTACAAATTCCTATAAAAATGTCCTATTTGTTTCACTGGAATTGAAACATTCAAACAAACTAAACGACATAAGGTTCCAATTTTGGCTAAACTCCAACTGATAACGTCATATGGTAGTATTTAAAGTAGCATGTTTCAATTGACAAGATCCGACTTGAACTATTACTAACACAATTTTAGTTAGATAAAGAGTAGAATTTTATCTTGAATATGATATTAGCATACCTGTAAGATAATTTTAGGAGATGCTATATTTTGATACGGTCTTGATTCATCATAAGACTGGTCGTTTATCTCACGAAAGTCAAGCAGTGATTTTTAATATTATATGGCAATGTTTGACTATCATGCTCTGAGAAAATGATGTTCTCTTTCCTTCCTTTTGTATAGAAGAATACCTTTTGTGTAACATGCTGGCATGCTTTCAATGTTGAGAATAACTCCCAATTAAGAGACTTCGGATATATTAGAGACGAGTCTTGTGCAAGATTGAAAACAAAAGACTGAAGCTTCTTTACAACCTAGCTTTTAAAGTTACTATAAATTTTACATGAAATGCATTTGACATTTTATTCAAACTATGTATTGTATATAAGTATAAATAACTAAATAATTGGGAACAAACAACCTACGCTCGTTCAGCCTCAATTCTGGATTCCCTTTGTTATGGGTAACAGACACTGATAATAAACACCCAGACAAAGAGAAAACAAACCTGTATATCACACAATGTTTTCCGATGTGGGAATCGAACTCGCGACCCTCGGCGCCAGAGTCAGAGCCGCTAACTTCTGCACCATCGAGTCAGTCATTATGTGTATTTAGATATAATTAATTACGCAATGGTACGGTTTAATTGTGTTGTGAATTTTAAAGCTCTTTTCATTACAGATTGAAAATAATGTGACAATATTTATTGGTTTCTTCTTTCTGCGTTACTTTTTCCATCCTATTTTTGTGGACAATATTATTGAATAATATTAAACTAAAAATATTTTATTAACTCGACACAACAAAGGAAATGACATTAATTTAAGGAGTCATTAACATACAGTCAGTTTGGAAAACAATCATAATTCTGATAGTAATTAGTTATTGTTTTGTTGAATATCAATGAAAATTTAAGTAGAATTGTCAAAGTCTTTCCAATACGAAACAAACTGGAGATATTCCGGAACTAACTATTTTAATACTTTGCAATAAAACAAACTCCTAATATTCTAATCGCCCATTTAACTTGACCTTTACCAAAAAAATAGATAGTGTCCCAAAAGAGTATCTCTCGGCGTAGTGGTAAGTCGTAAACAAGTGGCTGCGGTTCCCACGACCCGGTAGCTAAAGTTACGAATGTGCACGTTACTATGCAAAATATATGTATGTAAATATATACAGCGTGTTCGTTTAGTTTCACTTTCATAACTTCTTATGGCAACTCGAAACAGTAAGTTTACAAAAGCTTCACGACTACGCTTTTTAAAAAGCTACACAGGTGTTCTTTTGCTTATAAATTTTGAGAATTTATTTTGAGAAAGTATTAAATATCGGTTGGAGGTAGCGGTGTTGCTATGTATCTATACTTTAATATTATAAAGCTGAAGAGTTGGTTTGTTTGAACGCGCTAATCTCAGGAACTACTGGTCCGATTTGAAAAATGGTTTCAGTGTTAGATAGCCCATTTATTGAGAAAGGCTTATAGGCTATATATATATCATCACGCTAAGACTAATGCAGGCGGACCACCAATAAAGAATGTTTCAAAATAGGGGTTTAAATGGCTACTTAATATTCTATAATTAAAAAATATTTTCACTTTCTACGTAAATGAAGTAAATAAAATTTAGCGTTATGCCAAAGTAGCTATTCCACACGGACGGAGTCGCGAGCAAAAGCTAGTATCATAATATCTTGCTTGATAGTCGTTTCAGCTGTTGGTTTAAAGGCTAACTTAGCTCTCACGTATCAAGATTGGTTATAGTTAACGATAAAGATTTAAACAACAAAAATATA